TAGGACGTCCCTTTCGGACTCTGCCATTCACTTCTGCACCATAAATTTTCTTTGTTACTCTTTCCTCATTCATTCTTTCCACATGACCAAACCACCGAAGCATTCCTTTCTTAATTCTGGTCACAACATCATCTTGCAGACCACACTCTTCTCTTATTACACACTCAATTTCTTACCCTGTCATTCAGATTCAGCCCTAACATACTCCTTTAACGACCGCATTTCTACTGCGTTTATTCTACTCTCGTGCTTCTTCTGCCACACCCAACTTTCACTACCATACGTTAAAGTAGGGACCAACACAGCATTGTGAATTTGCCATACGTGCCTTTTTCGACACATTTTGACTCTTCACAATAGAGTGCAAGGCCCCATTTACTCTATTTCCCGCAATTCTTGTATATATATAATCGGAATCTCGGAAACGGCTCCAATGATTTTCATAAAATTTTGTGTGCAGGGAGTTTCGGGGGCAATAAATCAACCTAGCTAGGATTTATTGTTAGAAAATGTTTTTAGAAATTGTTTCCTGATTTAATGAAGCATAGTAAAGTAATACCTTTATTTAAATCTGGTAGTACATTGGTCCCCGCTAATTTTAGACCATTACTTCATAATTTGGTTTCACGGGGTCGCCGACAACGATGCTGGTGTTGAGCTGATTAAATATATATTTAATGCATGGGAAAATTCACAGGATGCTTTGGGTGTGTTCTGTGACCTATCCAATGCCTTCGATTGTGTTCCCCATGAAACATTAACCAGGAAACTTCAACGCTACGGAGTAAGAAACGATGCTCTTAAATTAATTATTTCATATTTAAGTGACAGAACACAAAAAGTTGTTATTAATAGTATGAGTTCTTCCGGGTCGATTGTACAAATGGGCGTGCCTCAGGGCTCAATTCTCGGCCCTTTTCTGTTTCTTGTATATATTAATGACTTACCTTACATAGTAGGGGATAACCATGATATAGTATTATTTGCTGATGATACTTCATTAATTTTCAAATTAAAACGACAGTTATTAAATTACGACGAAGTAAATAATGCTATAGCTAAGTTAGTCAATTGGTTTAATGTTAATAATTTGCATTTGAATGGAACTAAAACTAAATGTATGAAATTCGTAACTCCCAATGTTAAACATGTCAATACTAATGTAATTTTAAATGGGGAGGAACTGAGTCTTGTTGATACCACCATTTTTCTTGGAATCACACTGGACGCAAAGCTTCAATGGCTCCCCCATATATCAAAACTAGCTAGCAGACTTAGTTCTGCAGCATATGCTGTGAAAAAAGATTAGAACTCTTACCAGTGTTGAAACAGCTAGAATAGTTTACTTTAGTTATTTCCATAGCATTATGTCGTATGGTATTTTGCTATGGGGACACGCGACTAACACTGAAATTATATTTATTTTGCAGAAGAGGGCCATTAGAGCAATATATAATTTAAAACTAAAAGAGTCACTGAGACAAAAATTTAAGGAAATTAATATATTAACTCTGGCCTCTCATACATTTATGAAAATGTAATGTACGTATACAAAAATAAAAGTAGTTTTGCGAAAATAAGTGATATTCATTCTGTAAATACTAGGAGCAGACACAAGCTGGTAGTACCAGTTACTCGACTCCACCGAGTCAGTAATTCATTCTTGGGGCGATGTATACGCTTTTACAACAAAATCCCAGAAAATATACAAAATTTGTCATACACAAAGTTCAAAAATGTTGTTAAACTAAGTTTGTATAAAAAGGGTTATTATAATATTAAGGAATTTATAGATGATAATAACCCCCGGGAAGGGTGATCACCAAGCTATTTCTAATTTGTCTTGTGTTGTTGATTGTAAACATGATTGTAAGCTATTATTAAAAAAAAAATAGTCCCGCTGGGTTTCTTGCTGGTTCTTCTCAGGACAGAGGTTTTTTTTGAGAACCAGTGGTAAATTAAAAAAGTGACTTTCAATAAGTATTTTTATAATCTAAATTGAATATAAAAGTTTCTATTTCTATTTCTATTTCTGTCCTTTTGTCCGTGTTTTTAGGCAATGAAAACTGTTACAATATCGTTAGAATAAGAAGGTAAATTTTGACATTTTATTAATGATTACAAATAGCTTATTTGGTATAATGGGCGGTCACAAAATCGTAATAATGGTTCGAGCCAGAGACCGACCGACTTTTTTTAAATTTTTTTTGAAGTTCCTTTCTTTTTTTGAGAAAATCTATTTTTTCGTGCTCTTTTTTTAGTATTTTTTTAAAAACACGAAAATTTAAATTAAACTAATTGCACTCATGATTTTTTCAAATAACCAGTTCAGTTTTTTCTATTATGTCGCTACGATCAAAAAATATCACACGAATTAAAAAAAACCGAGCGAAAAATACCGAGCAAAGCTCGGTCAACCGGGTACTGTAATAATTTATGCAAGAAAATAAGATCTAGTTTTTCCTTGTATTATTAAGTGTTGTTAATTATAAAATATTTAAGTTTGTTATCAAATAAATTTAATAAATGTGATTTATTTATGTTGTGACATAAATAGCACAAAAATCGCTTCTGATTTTTTTCAATATGGTTCTTGTGTACTTCATAAAATGGATTCCATACTTGAGGACAGTATTTCAGAATACTCCTCACTAATGTATTATATAGCAATATAATAGTTTTAGGGTGTTTTAATTGTCTAGAATTCCGCATAATAAAACCTAACATTTTATGATATCATCTAGGTGAGTATTAAAACTTAATCTTCTGTCAATCATAACACCAAGATCTCGAATAGTATAAGCCGGTTCTGAAAGTGTGTTATTTATCTTATATTAAAATAAATAAGGTTCTTTGTTACGTGAGAAAGTTATGATGTGACACTTATTCACAATCAATAGCATTTTATTGTATCTACACCAATTAAATAATTTATCAATGTCCTCTTGTAGTAATACACTATCATCGATGCTTCTTATTATTAACAGTTTAAGGTCATTCGCTAAAATGTATGGTCCCCAGTTAAGAAAGCAATTAACTATGTATATTATTGAGAAATGTTGAAAACAAGAGTGGACCAAGGTTTGAACCTCGATGAATACCTGATGTGACCACAAATGTTATCGATCTAGCTCCATTAAAATCACAATTGATTGGCAGTATTTTAAATAGGGCTGCAAATTAGAGCTCCCAATACCAAAGTGTCAATTTATGATGAAGTATTTCATGGTCTACCTTGTCAAATGCCTTGCTAAAGTCAGTATTGTATCGACTAGAATGCGTTGATTAACGAATTCCGCCAAGGTTTTTACAAAGTCAACGATGTTGTGTTTGTGTTGTGGACCACCAGAGACTGCTTATTTCTTAGCTGAGTTTTAACATGGTTGTATACATAAGAATAGATAATACTTTCAAATACTTTTGAGAAAATAGATAGAATTGACATTGGTCTATAATATTATGTCTCGCTTAGAGCTATCCTTATGAATTCGCACAATTTTAGTTTCTTTCCAACATTACACTATTAGATTCTACCAAATGTAGTGCCATATCGGGACGAATGGTGAGAAAATGGTACATGTATTTAGTTTTTTTAAACAGATTTTTTTCTTACAAAAAGATATTAATTAAATTTAAATGTAATATTTTTTTGTTCTCAATATATTAAAAAGTTACATACTAATAACGTAGTTATAAGAAATAGCAACAAAATATGAGTCTCAGTTACTTAAATAAATCAATTCTTCTTAAAAAAATTAAAACCTTACATTAAAGTTGGTAAGAATTACTTCGCCCATATCCGCTTAATGAATTAATTTATTCATAATCATATTAAATTTATTCATATTCATTAATCGCCTGATTCTATTAATTAAAAATTCATAATACATGAGCAAATAAAAATTGATCTCCGCCAGTTAATGAAATTGTAAATCTCAATTTTATAAATGAATGTGGTAAACATTACTAAGAAACCTGTGGAATGAAATGAAATGAAATTCTTTATTGTTGACGTAATGACCACGTACGTTTTTTTCCTTGATAATGGACGAATCCACGTACGGTTGTAATTTTGCCAGTGTCAAGTTTATTAAATCATTTTATGAGTTAATTTGTTTCAAAACTTCTTTATTATAAGTTGATATGTGAATATAACACATATTAGCCAGAGTCGATGACGTTAGTACGAGTATCTCTGGTGCTTAATAAGGCATTTTATTTTGAGATTCGCAACACTATCGGACCACTTGTTTCTGTTTCATAGTATCCATTCATAATTCACATGCGCAAACATTTGATACATAAAATGCACCACGTTTAAATATAAATAACCACTGCTACTTATTACCATTATACCATTATTTAGACTATAAAACAGGAGGAGCAATCTACCACCGGTCGAGTTCCTGCCAAAACTGTCATGTAATAATACGTTTAAGTTCAAATTGCGTTTGCCAAACATCAAGATGTTTTTAATCTACTATCGGTTCAAAAGAGGTTTCAGAGGAACCACCTCTGTCTGGAAAAGAAACTTCGTAAGAAACTCTGAATTAATTCTCTTTTTAACCGACTTCAAAAAGGAGGAGGTACTTAATTCAATTTTATGTTTTTTACGTGTGTTACCTCAGAACATTTTTCTAGGTGAACAGAATTTGATGATTCTTATTTTATTTGAAAACTGGTGCTTCTCATGTGGTCTGATCGATCAAGATCTGGCCAGTAGTTTTGAGTTATCCTTATTAATACGTATTTAATTGAGTTCGAATTTCGAATACATGGATGATGTTCTCATTTTATTTATATTGAAGACGGCGGTACAAAACTTTTAATGTTACCACTTGTTTAACAGTTTCTTAAAAGGCAATGGTACAATATTTGCACAAACGTAAAATAAAAAATAAAGTATTTAGAACCCAAAACCCTTGTTGAATCGAGAAGAGTCCTGTCGATCAACATCGGTACTGGGAAGTTTAAGGATATAATATAATAGGTATACTTACGTATTTAGCGATTAGATAGACAGGATCCAGTATATATGATGTAATTGCGAGCATTATGAGAGTAGCACCCAAAGTTGTGTGCATGATAAGCTTATCTGAAAGAAACACATTTTATGGAATTTTTATTAACGTAAAGTAAGTAATCAAGCAATGGTTTACGAGGTGTACGTTATAGTTGTAGCACGAATGAGTCGGCTCGATTGTGAAAGGCCCACACTCTAACAGAATACCAGCGCAAAATAGCTGTTTAATGCTGCTGTGTTTTGTATGGTGAGTGTAGAGAATCAGGGACCCTTTTCACTGGAAATGCGGTATTTCATCTTAGTCGTCAGGGGTGATTTTTCCCAAATCTTAGGTGCGGAGAACAGGATGGATCATCCATCCCTCCGAAGTACCATTTAGTATCTAAGAGCTGCCACTTTACACCCACCAACAATGCCATATTGTGAATAGCGTTTAATATTATTGCTAGTAGTTGTACAAGAACTGCTAAGTAAGTCAACTTAGCAGTTAGAAATCGCAGAGCCTACTCTTTGTGTGATGATGCCTCATTTAGAGGAAAAATACGTGACTTATTAACGACGTTGCTCGTTTGAGGTGAAAAGGTAACTTATCATCGACGTTGGCGTGTCTTTCCAAGTGTGCGGTTGGAGGTTGTGATATTGAGATCAGTTGTAGTAGTGATCGTGCCTGCAATTGAGGGAAAAGAGGGTTGCACATATAATGTGATAGATAGATGGGACCCGGATCTTGGCTAAAATATTTCACAAGAATTACTTACTTCTACTCGCTTTTGACAGCGTATTGCATTTCTTCGCGGGCTTCATTGTTACTGCGCGCTTTCACCTGCTGAGAGTCGTACTCCCTTTCTGTAAAAACGAAAGGAGAATTACATTAAAGATCTTTATCAGACGGCGGAATAAGGATTTTAACTAGACTTGCAACTAATAGTATATTCGGCCACACGCCGGGTACCGAATATGCTGCGGGCTTCTTCGACGAATAACCGACTATTAAGCAAAAGTATTCGGCTAGGAAGGAAGTAATGTTTATTAGGAGAGCCTTTTCTCTGATGTTAAGATTGTCTACGAGAAGAAAAGGAGTGAACTACTGCCTGAAAATGCAGAAATATAATTCTTTCTGCACCGTAATCTTCCACTTCTAAGTTATAATTACAATATTTTAAGTGTGCATAAACGTTTAGCTAATAGTATTTTTTGTTAATTCTTATAATACGGAAGTTGGTTATGTACATACGACTAATTTAATGATTACAAGAAGAATACATTATTATAAAACAAAACAATATTTTATTATCTGACTATATTAAAACATCTTACTTAAGTACGAATAGTATCTAAATATTCGTTAAACGACTGAGTAGGATAAAAGAAGCTGAATAGGCCGAATACCAAACGATAGCCGAATATTCGTTGCAAGTCTAGTTTTAACAACTTGTCCTTATAATTTGGGTGTATTTCCGCGTGGTAGTGCCTTCGTCCCGTGGTTGTCGTAAGAGGCGACTTTGGGTATTGCCAGAAATTCCGATAGATGGCGGTATTCTCATTACCGTCGCACGTAAAATTCCCAGACCGACGATCGTGTATTAAACCGTGTATTAAACTATTAGTAGAAATAATGTATAATGTATGTAATAATGTAAAAGGTTGCACTCTACGACCTCTCCTCGAGGATTAAAGGCGTGACCGATATGTATGTGAACGATTAAAAAATTAATGTATAACTGAAAAAACATATTAATATTTATTAATACTAATGAGTTTTACTTTAACCGCTCCTAAAGATTACTACTGTTTTTAACCAAGCGATTGTAATTAAAGGTATGTAGCAACGATGTGGGGCAAAAACTTAACCAAGCACAAATACTAAGGAGTAACAGTATGCAATAACAATACATAAACATGCCCACACGCAATCAATGACGTACAATAATTTTATTATTCTAGCACGAATGGATAGGCACGAAAGGGGAAGGATTACGCTCTTACAAAATATCAGCGTATAATAGCTGCTTAATGCTGCTGTGTTTCGTATGGTGAGTGTGAAGAATCGAAGACCCTTTTTACTTGAAACGAGGCATTCCATCTTAATCATCATGGGTGACGCTTTCTGCATTTTTATTCTTAATTGAGAATAGATATAGATGTCTGCAGGCCACACATCCACTTACCATTAGATGTACTGTGTGCTCGTTTGTCACCTTTATTGAATATAAAAAAAACTACATTTATCGTGGTAGAGTCAACCTGCATATGTATTATGGCAGTAGTTCGAATGCATTGGTCCGACCGGGGACCTATCACTCTCACACAATAACAGCGTAAAATAGCAAACAACAGCATAATGCTGTTATGTTTCGTACAGTAAGTGACGACAGTTGGACGCCTTTGTATAGAAGAACCCCGTCTTAGTCGCCGAGGCATTTCTAGTTCTTCTTAGTTAGCTACTTAAAAATACAATTCATATTATAGAGTCATTTTATCACGTAACAACGCATCATATACGTGGTACTCCACGCTGCAGTTATATTAGTTGTAGTAAAATGGCAGATTTAGGCTGCTGTGTTTCGTATGGTGAATGTAGAAAACCGGAAAACCTTTACACTGGAAATGAGGTATTCCATCTTAGTCCTTAGGGGTGACATCTGCATTTTGATTCTTATTCGAGAATAAATGTAGATGTCTATTCGCACAGCATCCACTTACCATCAGGTGGACTTTGTGCTCGTTTGTCACCCTTATTCTATAAAAAAATCTGTAACCCTTCTTTGTTTGAAGTTATGCAGGTGTCATGAACTGTAATAGCCCCCTACCATCAGATGGACTTCAAGTTCCTTTGCCCTATAGTCTCGACTGGTGTTAACGTGTGCTATTTCGATAAGACACCGAACACAGAACAATAATAGTATGTCTAGACCAGGCATTCAGGGAGTCATTGTATCATTGGTGGTACGTCAATAAAATTATTTGATTTTTATCTTTAGTAGAAAGCAATCGTAAATTAATGATGTTAATAAATATTTTTAACCTTTTTTATTTCATACAGCTTCAGAATTAAAAAAGAACAGTTTAGTAATTTGAAGATAACCTATTATATACCGAGACAACTTTGATTTTTAGGGCTGATTTTTTAAAATCTTCTTTGTGAATCTGTTGAATCCATTAGACATTAGCTTCTCCCATTTTGTGTAGGGTTTGGAGACTATACTTTTTAATTTTAGTACCTATATTTCAGATATGTTTGAAGTATGTTTTGTATTAGATAAATTTCGTTATTTTTTTTTGTTGGTACTACGTCTGATATCTCTCCGGCCGTGTCGGGTGACTGACCTGTTGGACATTGATAGTAAGGGAATAGAGAGTGCATCTGTACACGAGTGTGTAACCAAACACACTCGTGCACTATAATGCTGTTTAGTGAAGATCGGTCTTAAGAACAATTTTATAATATAATGACAAAAATAATTTTGTGGGTTAGTTTATAAAAAATATTATAAGAATGAACTACATCTCATACAAATATAAATGCAAAAGTGTGTTTATTGTTTTTTTTTCTTTCAGAAAGCAACACGGCTACGGATCAAAGAGAATTTTTGCGGAGACATAGTTTTTGGGCCCGAGAGTGACATAGCTTTTTGTCCCGGAAAAATGCACGGTTTTTGTAGGACAGATCTGGAGCGTAATTCTGTAATTACATATTTATTCTATCTTAAGTCTTGGAATAACACATTATTCCAGGACTTAAGATAGCACTGTGAGTGTCTCACATACACAATGCTGTGATTTCTCGAAATGATTTGGTATTTCAACCTGCAGAAGTGTGAAGTCGCGGACGGAAGCTAGTATTTAATATAATTAAATTTATAGATAAGATTGGAGTTTATGACTACTTGACCCGATACTGGTCAAGGAATACGTCTAAAGTCAGCCTTACTCAGTGACAGAGTCGATTTTCCTTGTATTTATATCATTACGTTAGGCACTTTATGATCAAGGCCTTTAAAATTTCAATTAAAAACGGTTACGTTATGAGTGGAGTTAAAAAAGTTTGAATGTCGGCTTAACCTTAAATTCCTACAGTTGGAAACAACTCGTTCCAAATTGCTCATACCACCGCTAAAGATACCGCGGCTCGTAATTGCGAATAATCGGTATTCCCCATGGCGAATAGTCGAATTAATCGTTAAAATGATTTGACGTAAAAACAATTTCGAAATTTAACTATGTACGTCGATACATGAATAATTCATTACCAGCTTTTTTCCAAATAAATAGGGTATACGATAATAACACGCATGTTCTTGATTGTCTTAATAAAACTTAATTATAGCCTGATTCTTATGTTTTTTTACCATTTACGTCACGCATTTATTAGCTGTTGTTGAGTTTTTATACAATGTGTCACAAAAACCCTGTTGTTTCCGTTAAATGTGTTATAAGAACCAGTATTCAAACGTATAATGTAAATACGACACGCGGTAATCAAAATAGTAGTCATATTTCATCGATGATTACGACTCAGTCACGCGATACCGTCTGTCAGCGGGTTGACGACCGTGAAACTAGGGCGACCTCGGTCGTCATTGCATCACCACCTCAGCCCTTGACTGAACCCTTGAGTACTCCTCCGCCGAAGCCAACCTGTCAACTAGGAAAGACGTTTGCGGATGTTGCTCGAAAATCTTCGCAACCGTCATGTGGTCGAAAACAAAAGAATGTGGATGTAAAATCAGTTCCTGTGGTGACCCAAACCAAGAGAGAATGACGGGTTTACTCTGGTTGAGATGAGACGTCGGTCGAGACCCGTCTGTAACCAGCGTGGGACCGCCAAAATAAACGCAAGTACAACTCTGCGTATTGTGGAGCCCACCATACAGCTCTACATCTCCCGTTTGGACAAAAGTACGTCGGAGAAGACGTCCTGCGTTTCGTGGAAGAACGAAGCCGATGGCCGCATAGAGTATCCGATTTATTTAAATTTGCAGCGTCTGGAGTCTAAGAGGTCCACGAACTTCAAATCCTACGTACTCCAGGTTCCTGCAAAATACAAAGAGACAGTCCATTCAAGGGTAGTGTTTCAGCAATACAGGGACGCGCCAAAGAAGAAAGTTCCCTAAATAGTGTTATATTTATATTGTATATATATTTTTAGGTTAAGGTATATATTGCTATGGGCCAATGTTCTTAATTTTTAAGTCCTTGATGCCTGAAATAAAGTTATTGTAGTTGTAGTTGTATAATATACATAACTTTACTTCAAAAAATCAATCATATTTTTTTAAATTCAGTTTAAATAAATTTTTATTTGCAAAATGTATGTAGTTTTATTACCACTATATTGGTTAGGAAGTAAGAGTATTGTTAAAGACCCTGCTTTACCGATGCGCGTGTCAGTTAGAGATATAAAACCAAATACAATTTGCAATAAAAAAATTTAATGTCAGTTTTGTAAATGTAAAGTAATTTCTATATTTTTGCGTACTTCTTCACAGGGTTTCTGTTATATGTTTATAGATAATTATTATATATATGTATTTGTCACTGAGCTCTATTTTGATGAAATTTTTTGTGTATGTTTGAGTGGGTCCCTGGACGGTTTAGCTTCACAACTGGACCCGGTTGGTGGCATTGTTGTCGAGATTCAGAACTCACTTGTGCGAAACCGGGCAGATCGTTAGTAATTTATAGTTTTCTTTGTTATTTGATATGTAATGACCACGTCCGTTTTCTGCCTAAAAGTCCATCAGGGTAGGCATAATTCTTTCACCTGTGCACAAATGTGCTGCGACCTTTTACTGGAAACGAGG